TTCCTCTTTGAAACTCTTTCATTTTCATTCCACTTTTTACTTCCCATAATCTAATGATTATACCTTCTGCACTTGATGTTGCCATTACTGTTGCTGAATTATTTATAATTAAATTTGTTATTTGGTGTTTGTGACATTTTAATGAGTTGATAACTGGTTGAGCACCTAACTGGTAGACTTTTACTTCTCCAAGAGTTTTTGAAGGAATGAATAATTGATTAGTAGCTGAATGAAATGATAAAATACCTTTAGGATTAAAGTCAGTATCAATAGTAGTAATTGTTTTACTTGATAAATCCATTATAGAAACCATATTTTCAAAAACGATAAAAAGATAGTTTCTTGTAATTTTAATACCAGTAATATCGTTTTCACATTCTTTCCTCATTACTTCTTTTCCTTCTTTATCATCCCAAACTATTAATGTATTTTTTGGTGCATAAGGAGTTTGTCCTCCACCAACAAATGCAACAATGTTTGTTTCTTCAAGAACACTAATTAAACTTATACCTTTTCTAAATGCTTTTGCAATGAGTTTGTTGGTTATACATTTAAATCAATAACAAACTTCTATGAAATCGTTTAGTAAATTCACCATTTTTAATTGAAAACACTATAAATCCATAAGTGGTTCCAACCGCTAACAAATTTCCATTTTCACTGCGAGAAACAGAAAGAACTTTCAAATCTTCCATTTTTTTTATTTTCTTTTTTTAAGATGTTTTTGATATTTATTTTTTTTTTTTCTTTAAAAACAAGAAAAAATTGAAAGAGAAAAACATAAAAATACTAAAAGAACTTAAAAATAAGAAAAAGTCAAAAAATGTCACAGAAAGATATTTGTCCACATAACAAAATTAATGACCAAAACTATTGTGTTGATTGTTATCAGTTGATTGAAGATGTTGATGATTATATTAGAACTTCAGGTGGATATGGTATAACAAAAAGTTATGCAGAAGAACAAAAAAGGAGTGTTTCAGAAAAACTTTTAAAAGAAAAGAAACTTTCATTGATTTTAGATCTTGATGGCACAATTGTTTTTACAAATCCTGAATTATGTATACCGTTAGAAAGTGAAGAAGAATCAATAACACCTGAACAAGGATTTTATTTTGAAATACCTGAACAAAATGCAAAAGTATTAATTCGATTTAGAGATGGGATAGTTACATTTATGGAAAAGGTATCAAAGTTGTATGATATTCATGTAGTTACATTAGGTCAAAAAGAATATGCTTTTGCTATTGTAAATGCCATTAATAAACTTAGGGATGTTCCATTTATTACTGGTGATTTAGTTACTGCAGAAGATTGTTCTTCTGTGATTGTTTGTGATGAAAAAGATACAAATGATGGATTAATTGATCGAGAAGAAACTAATGAAAGAAGAAGTGTTAAAAGAAGTATTCCAACTATGGGAAAAGAAGAGATGCAAGTAATTGTTGATGATAGAATTGATGTTTGGGATAATAAAAATGTAGTTCAAATTTGTGAATATGTTCCTTCGACCAATCAAGTTGATACTGAATTAGTAAGAGTAACAGAAGTATTACAAAATATTTACACTAAATTTTATGATGAACATATAGAAGATGTTAAAGAAATTTTACACTTATTTAGAAAAAAGATATTAGAAAATAAAAACCTTTACTTTAATAGACCTAACTTTAGTAAAATGGAAAATGGTTTATTAACTCAAATGATATGGAAAGAGATATTAAGAAATTCAGTCATGATGGGTGCTAATATTCAAAAGTTCGTTTATTTAGATGGACCGAATAAAACAGATTTTATTATTGATGCTAAACCAATGGAAAATATTATTGCTGTAAAACGTGAGTACTTAATATATTCTTGGATTTTTATAAATACATTAGATGAAAAACCGTTTGAGATTAGTTCAGAAAGTACAGAATATAAAGAGCTTAGTATTGATTGTGTTTATGATCAGACAAAACATAGTTCTGTCTTAGATGATGATCCACAAATAAAAAGGGAATTAGATGATGAAAGTAGTGAAGATTATAGTTCAAATGAAGATGATAATGACCCCGAATATTTAGCTAATCTTGAATTATTCAAACAAGTAATGGGAAAAATGAAATAATAATCAAAATGAAAAGAAAGATCTATTTTTAACAATTTAAAATAAAGAGATTGAATAAATGATAAGAAGTAAAATTCTATTGACTGTTCTATTTTAAATTAAAGTTTTTTTTTTTAGTTCAGAAAAAAAAGAGAAATAAAATTACATTATGGGAAGCGAAGAACAGTTTTATATTAACCAATGTATTATTTTACTTATTGATATTGATGAAAATTGTAAAAAAGGAGACTTAGCAAAAGTTGTTAAAGTAAATCAAAAAGAAAAAACAGTTTTGATTCAATATAGTACTGAAAGAGGTTATACTTCTCAACCGATTTTAATTCAAATGGATTTAATAAAACCATATAATCAATAAAATAATTAAAATATTAATGTTAGAATAAAATTTAATTTCTTATAGTTGTTTTTTTATCTCTCTACATTAAATCTATTAATTTTGTAGAGATTAATACAACCAATAGATTAATTTAGTACAACTGTTGAAGTAAAATATCATTAATTTAATATTAACCTTTGATCCGTGTACTTCATATTTATTTCTTTTTTAAATAAAACATAAATTTATTTTTAAAAAATAATTAAAAATTATGGTTTTTATATTTTAACATTATTTAAAATTAATAAATGAAATGAGAAATGAATAATTCATTTTATGATTTAGGTATAGATCTTAAAAATAACGTTCCTTTATTAATTGATATTTTAATTGGATTATTTTCAATAATCATTCTTAATGCATTTGATTCAATAGGTGTCCATCCAATAATTTCTAAATCAGATAATTTATTATTTTCATAATAAAAAAGTATTAAAGAAAGACTTTGTGTAAATATTCCTTTAAAACATTCAAAAGGAATAATTTTTTGTAAATAAGGTATTTCTCCTGAATTTTTTGTAATAAATAAGAGATGAGTTTCTGTAATAACAATTACTTCAATCTTTCTTTCACTTACTTTTCTAACACAATCAAAATATTTTAAATGTTGGTACTTCCCTTCATTACACTCCATCATCATAGACCATCCAGTAGCACTTTTTTCATTATATGAACCACCAGCAACATACCACGGAAATCTAATTCTATCTTCTGCAATATTACCACATGTCTCTCCTGATATTCCCATTCCTAAATTTTGAACTAATCCAAAAACACCATCAATTGGTTTTACTACAACTCCTGTAACACCAGCAACTATTCCACTTACAAAACCAATTGGACCTAATAAACTTGATTTTTCTTTTGCCATTTGATACATTGTAGATGGAGTTGTCCAGATACCTTTAACACCAGAAGCAATTCCAGTAGTTAATAAATCTACTCCTTGATTAACACTTTTAACAAATGAATCATTAAGTGCTCTTTTAAATTCTTCTGGTATTTTTTTTTCTACATCTTTAAATAATTTCATTGGAATTACATATCTTTCGAAAGTTTTATAATCAACAGTTTCATATGATAAACGAATATTATTTAAACCAATAATTCCACTTGCCCATTGTTTTTTTATTGAAGGGAAATCAATTTCTTTTGAAAAGTATTTAATAATTATTTTAATAAATTGTAATAATTCCATTTCAATAGGTTTTGAACTAAATTTATGAATAACAATTGGTACATTTTTTACAGCATTCATTTGTGTTAAATGATGTAAAGTTGTTGCTGATTCAGAAAGAGGAGGAGGTTCTTTTTGAGAAGGATTAATAGTAAGATGGAAGGCAATAGAATTACAAATGAATTTTTCAATTTTAATATAAAATTTATTTGTTTCAACGTTTTGTTTAGTAGTGGAAGATTTAAAAATATTTTTAACAATTGAATGATAAATAGAATAAATTTCTATTGCTCTAGCAAGAAAAGCAGGGTCAATTTGAATTTCTGTTGTTTGAATTGCGACTGTCATTTCAACAATATGTAATGAATGACTTGTTAATTCATTAATACCTGTTCTTAATAATTTACAACCAACATGGAAATAATTTTGTTTATTAAATTGAATCCAATCTGAAGGAGAAGGAGATAAAATTACCGGTTTACTATTAATTAAAGTAACGTCTTGATTATCAATTTGAATATAATCAATAGAAAATTCAATACCTGAATGTGAAAACGTTTGAACTAATTTTAATTGCATATTAAATAAAGAAATATAAAGAAATTCATTATCATTAATAAGAATTGATATTCCAAAATTAGAGAACATAATATTAAAATCATATAAAGGAATTGTATTTAAAGAATTTTCATAAACAGAACTTAAAGTAAAATTAATAAATGTTGTTGATTTTTCTAATGAAAAAGAAGAATAAACAATTTCAATTTTCTTTTTTTCATTATTATTAAATTCTAATTGATGATGTTGAGAAGAAATAATTGGATTAATAATTGTATTATTTTTATCATATAATTGTAATGTATGTTTTAATGTTGGTACTGTCCATGCAAAAGGAAGTGATTGATTAGGTTGAATTGTATACGTATGAATTGTATTTGTTTGAGCAAAAGTAATTGGAATATTTGTATAATTTTGAATACATAAATAATAATCTTCTATTTCATCAATACAAATTATATATTCCATTTGATTTAAAGTAATATTAATTGAAATGATAATATATCTTTCATTTTTTGAACTTAAAATCATTTGACAATTTACTTCTTTATTAATTTTAAATTGTTCACTTTCAAATAATTCATTATTTATTTCAATTTCTAATGACATTTCAAACTCTCCACTAACATTACAAGGAGCATATCCTTTAGCCATAACATTTGTTCCATGAGGGAATTGAGAACAATAAAATTTAATTTTATGTTCAGTTCTATTATGAATAACATACCGTTGTTTTAAAATAATTATTTCTTTGTTACTTTTTTCTTCAATACTTTTTGAATAAACAATTTCAATAGGAGGATTTCCAAGAAGAACAATTCCATTTTCTTCATTTGGAAGAAGAACTTCTTTTAATTTATTATTATTACTATTATTTTGATCACTTTTTAACATTAATATTCCATTAATATATTTATTATTTATTTTTATATTATCTTCACAAAACTGTGTCATTGGTACTAAACTTCCATTTGTTGGTAATGAAATATTATTATAAATTAATGGAATTAATGTTTGATTTTGTACAAATTGATTAACTCCAAAATGAACATTAGTTGGATAATTTTCATTTTCTTCAAATCTCATTAAAATATAATTTACTTGTGTTGGTGAATTAAATACAATTCTTCTTGAACGAAGATTAGATGGAAATAAATAAAATTCTTCTGAATTTAGTAATAATATTGTTGGTTCCATTGTAAATCCATCAATACAATCATTAAGTATTTTAATAAATCCACTGAGTCTTTCATTATTATGAGCATAACTTAACGTTCCAAAAGGTGGAATAATAAGTTGTGTTTTATTTGTATCAAATAAAGTTAATAATAATGTTGAAGGTAAATGAGAATGAAATATATAAGGATGTTGAATAATAAAATTAACTGTTCTGATATATTTCTTTTCTTTATTTAATTGAGGAACTCCTACTTTAGGAGAAATCATTAAAATTTTAACAGGAGCTGAACCAAATAATTTAGTAATTGGAGCTTCCCATTGTTTATTAAATTCACTTGTTTCAGTTGGTATATGTCCAGTGTATGAAGGGTTTGGAAGAGGAATTGGTTCATTTATAGGAGTTACAGCAATTGAAAAATATGTTCTACTAAATATTGGTTGAAAATAATAAATATCTTGAGGTTTTAATGAAAATGAAATGATATTTGGTTTAGATGGTGTAGAAACATAAACTTTAACTTTTTCATTTGTTTGATTTAAAACACTAATTGATGAACTTATTTTTAATTCTCTTAATGAATTTCTTTCAATAATTAAATATCCACCATGTTTATTTGTTTTTAATGAAGTTAATTCAATAATTTGTTTAATACCACCAATAGTAAAAGAAATATCTTTATATCCAACCATTTTAATTTGAAGTAAACTTCCTTCAGGTAAGTCAATTGAAGAATTCATTTTAACAAATAATTTCATATTAGAAATGATTATTTCTAAATCCATTCCACTATAATTTAGTAATGAAAATGGTTGTAATATTGGTAATTGTTCTTCTTGTTTAGGTGTAATAATTTGTGAAATATCATTAATTTCTCTATTAAATGAATTAACTACATTTAATAATGAACTAATAGAAAGAATTGCATGAGGTGTAATATTTACATTTAAATTTTTTTCAAAGAAGATTCTGGTTGATGTACCAATCCAAGCACATTTTATTGTTGTCATGTCAATTAATGATTCATATTTTTGTTTATCTGCATTAAAACAATCAATTTCTAAAGAAAATACATTTGTTAATACTCCACTTTTACCATCAATATTAAAATCGTTAATAATTATTTTAATACATTTAATATCTGTAGCAATTTTTAATGTAATACTTGGAATACTCACTTTATATGAACGTAATGATGGCGCTGTTTTAATTGGAAGAATAATTGGTTTTTGTTGTGAAACAAAAGGTTGATAAATAGTACATTTACGCTGAATAGACTCTTTTATATTTTGTTTAAAGAATACTTTTAAATTATCATTTAATTGTTGAAAAAGATGTTGGAGAATAAAGAATTCATAAACTCCAATAAAGAAATGAAGATTATTTGATGTAAAATTAATTAATAAATTTGGTTGAAATTGATGGTTTTGTGATGTTTTAGAAATGGATAATGTAAATTTAGTTTTACTAAGTATTTCGTGTTGAGTTGATTTCATAGAAATATTATTAAATTCTAAACAAAGTGATTTTAATTCATTTGTAATAATTTTTTTATCTAAATGTTGAATAGTATTTTGTGTAACAATATTTCCTTTTGTTGAATATTCTAATGCCATTACACACCGCTCTTGATTATCTTCGAATAATATTAATCCATCACTAATATCAATATTTACTTTAAAAGGTGTTTCTGTATTTACTTTGAGATATCCACCTATAAATTTTAATATTTGTCCCCAATATTCTTGTAATTTATTAATATCTCTTGGAATACAAATTAATTGTGGTCTATTCATTTTAATATTTAATTCAGACTCTTTTCCTATCTTGGCTTCTAGTTCAAATGGAGTATTTTTACTTAACACAATTATTGGTTTGTTTTCATCACTCACTTGTAATGACTTAAACTGTGATTGGATTGTAACTATATCCATTTCTTTCTTTTCATTATAATTTTGACATTTTATTTCTAATCCTTTTAATGAATATCTTAATGTATGTGGAACTGTTAAATTTGTTTCTTTCACTCGTATATTCAAACGAAATCTAGTTCTCATTCACTCTGATAAAATAAAAAATTTTAAGTCTTTTTTCTTTTTTTAATAACAAAATTATAACTTCATTATCACATTATTATCAAATTATTAAAATTTTTTTCTCTATAATCTTTAAATGATTTTTGAGATTCTTATTACACTCATATATCTAAATTTATAATTTTTTTTTTATTTAAAGCAATTTATAAACAAAAGTGGTTGAATGAAGATTATCACTTGAAAAATTCTTTCACAAAAATAAATTATAACTAAAATTCAAAATGCTCTATGAATAATAAAAGAAAAATGAATAAAAAGTCAAAAACGAAAATATAACAAAAAAAAAAATAAAAATAAAAACAAACTAAAAAAATAAAAAAAAACTAGAAAAAGTAAGAAAAAAAAAGAGAATGGAAGAACAAAAGATCTTATGTATATCA